CCCCCCCCCCCCCCACTTCTCAGGATGCTTCGGGAGGCCACTAGGGCAGCTGCTCCTAGCTTTGAATAAAACCTATTAATTTCTTACCCATGGCTCCCAGGATCTTTTCCTGTTACCTAGCTCGTGAACCTGTGTGTGAGGGGGTCTGTGACCCAGTCTGTACAATGGGCTTTAAGGGTCTATGAGCCCTAGCCCTAGCTTGACACAGGTCCCTCTATTCCAGTCAATTACTGTGAATTACTGCTAAAACTCCTTCTGATTAGAGAAAAGCAATAAGTACTGGACTTTGAACTCTCTTTTTCTTTGAACTCCACTGAACATGGGGCTTGTAACTGGACTCATGAACTTCTGTATTTTCCACTTTAGGAGACAGGCATTTATCAGACATGTTAAATGGTGCCTTCACCTTTCATCTTTCCAGAAGCTTCCTTGGAATCTCAGGAAACACTAATTAACCATTTGCTTCTTAAAGCAGAGTTTAAAAACCTCCTTCTCACCTCCCTCCCCATGCAAACATGTATATACTTTTTATATAGAGTGAGAAGAAGTTCAGAATGGTTTGACAAAGAACGATCTCTATGCAAATTACATTTTAGATCTTCCAATTGCTCTACTACTATTGATCCCAAGAAGAGACTACAGGTTTAAAACATGGGCCTGCGTGGAAGATTCCCCGAGGACTCAGTCAGAATCCCAGTCTTTTGATCAGAAACCTCATTTCACCTAGCTGAAATGATGCTGGTTTGTAGGGAATGGGTTGGTTGATTCAGCACAAGTGGAGAGTACTTAGAAGGAAACTGTCAACTTCTGCAAAAACTTAAATGCTCTTTTAAAAAAGTTGTTGAGTTGAGGGCCGGCCCGGTGGCACACTGCTACAGTGCACCGCTTGGGAGCGCGCCGCCGAGGGTTTGGATCCCACATACAGACCGGCCGCTCACTGGCTGAGCGAGGTGCGGGCGCAACACCGAGGGTTGTGATCCCAGTGCCAGTCCCGGTCCAGTACGGGCGCGACACTGAGGGTTGCGATCCGTTGCCGGTCACGAAAAAAGACAAAAAAAAGGGAAAAAAAAGACAAAAAAAAGTTGTTGAGTTGAAAAGGTATGGAAGTTTTTAAAATAGCAATAACAACTAATATTTATTAACTACTTAGTCTGGGCTGACAACATACTAAGTTTATTTTATTTTTAATTGATAAATCCTAATTGTATGTCTATAGGTACAATGTGATGTTTTGATATATGTTTACATTGCAGAATGATTAAGTCAAGCTAATTAAGATATCTATCCTCTCACATACTTTTTTTTTTGTGATGAGCATGTTTAAAATCCACTCTTCTAGCAATTTTGAAATCTACAATACAATAACTCACTGTGTGGTGCCGTAGGTCTCTAAAACTTACTCCTCCTTTCTAATCGAAACTTTATACCCTTTGAACAACATCTCCCTATTTCCCATCCAACATGCTAAGTTTTTTTACACACAATAGCTCATTTAATCCTTACAGTTCTGTGAGGTAAGTATAATTATTATATCCATTTTACAGATTGGAAAATTGGGACCCAGAGAAGTAAAATAACTCCCGAAAAGTTTTGTGGTTTTTAAGTAACAAGCTGGTACTTGTACCCAGGTCTGTCTAATTAGATCAAGGTCTGTAGGGGAGAGAAGCTAAGTTCAAGGACATTTCTTTGGTCAGTATCTTAGGGACTCCCTAGTACTGGTTCAGGGGACACCTTTATCTTGAACCTAAGGGAGCAGCTTTGTCTTGGGACTTCAGTGGCCAGAGTTTTTCAGGGAGATACTGTTGTTCTCAGACTGAAGTTGTGGAAAATGATGGTATAGGAGAAAGGGTAATTGGGAAAGACAGTTATGTACTTTTGTGAGTGTGTAAACCCAGGCCAGACAGAATTGTGCAAAATAAGATGTGCACCTATAATTTAGCTTAATGGGTATGGAGCATATCTCCTAAGATTCTCTTGCATGAGATTGAAATTGTACATTTTAAATGCTTCCAGATGGACGAGGCTTAGCTGGAGCCAGGAAGGGGGCAGGGGAGAGCAGCGCCATTAGAAGGAAAAAGGGGCAGCAGCTTAACCCGGCTACTATGGAGGAGAACAGAAGAAAGATAGGTTCAGGGAACCCCCTTCCCCAATTCCCAGTCACTGAGGCAGAAACTTCTTTCCCTGAGTGGTAGTGATAATACCCAAGAGAAATGGCTAGGGGGCTTTTGTGGGCTGCCCAGAGAGTCCAGCTCATTTATTTAAACTATCTCATGAAGAATGACTCAGTCCCCTCCTGTCTTCGTTATCCCATCCCCCACTTTCTGTGACTTCCGAAGAACATTCCCCCACTATGCTTTGCCTTTGCCAAGCATGGATCTTTATTTCACATTTGAGTTCCAAATTTCAAACCCAGCTCAGTCTGGTTGTTTTAACTGTTGGGGGTGGGGGTTGGGAGGGGGGAGATGTGACTTAGTTCTAAGAAAAGGGGCTCAAAAGTCTTCTTAGAAATCAGCATTGTTCCTATTCATCATTGTAGCTCCTAATTCGATTTGATGAGTTAAATATAAATAAATCAAAAACATGTGGATCAAATTTACGTAAAAAATGCACAAGGGTTTAAAAATTAGAGAAGGGTTTCTAGCCAAACACATTTTCGGTTTTGCTGAACACAAGGCGC